GGGGATGGGGACGAGAGCCGAGCGCTGCCGCGGGCCGGGCACAGCCAAAGCGCCCGGGTCCCACACGTGTCCGCGCGGCCCCACGCGCCCCCTCCTCACCCAGCGCTGCCTTCAGCAGCCCCTGGCGAAGGGGCAGACGGCGAGGAGGGACGAGGCTCATCCACATGGCGTGTTGAGAGAGAGGAGCCTTTGGGATCCTTCCCGGGGGACACGGCAAGGAAGGGATGAGGCTCATCCACACAGTGTGTTGGAGCACGCACAGAGAGGAGCCTTTGGAAACCTTCCCAGGGGACACAGCAGGCCAGTCCCAGCGCTGCGTCACCAGGAGGGAAGACCTTCACTGCCGTCATCCGCGAGGCCTGCGGCTCAGCGGGTGCGACCAGGACCACCAAACCCGTCGCCATGCTGCTTGCGCCGGGCGCCACGGGACAGCCCCGGACCGGCCGCACGGGTCCCGTCGCTGCAAACGGAGGACGCTGCTCACCGCTGCCCCTCTGGGAACTGCAGCAGGGTGACCCTAGTCACCATTGCCACCTGGCCATGCGCGAGGGCAACCAGGTCCTGGGGACATCCCTGCTGCTACCGCAGGGCAGCTGTTTTTAGGAACCCACTGTATTCCCGCCGGATTTGCAGGCCTTGTGCTCTGACCTGCCCTCTCCTTGGCAAGGGCGCAGAGCCCTCATGTCCACGGGCACCTTCCAGGCTGGGCTGCGGAGGGGGCTCTCCCTGGGCAGGAGGCAGCTCCGCATTCCCTGCGCCAGGCTCCGAGCTCCCGTCCCCTCCTCATTTCGGGGCATTTCAATCACCGGCAGCCCCCAGCCAGCGCGCACGGATTCGCGGAGCATGGCAGCGGGCGCTCCCCTCACGGGACATCCGCAGGCGGCGGCAGCATGAAGCCATTCCCGCCTCTTGCAGTCGAGAACGGGGTATCCCGCTGCAAACGCCTCAATGGCGACGCAGCACCAAGGCCATCCCCTACCCCAGCCCAAGGGGGCCACCGTGGGGCCCGGAGGGACCTACCCTGGCCACCTCCCCAAGGAGGCTCCCAGACCCCTGGGATGAGGGAGCTCGGGATGGGCAGGGCAAGGCCGGATGGGAAGGGGGTAACCCCAGCGCCTCGCTCCGCTCCAAGGACGCCCTCACTCTTCCACGCGTCATCAGCCATCAGAGCAACTCTCTGCACAACAGAAAAAAAAAGCCCATTCCCAGCAAGGCTCAGCATTCCCACTGCTTCCAGAGCACAGGGGCCCCCAGGGTTTATTTTACAGGCCCCAATTCCAACCACCACAGAGCCCCAGAGCTGAAGGAGGGAAGAGGAACGCGATCCTGGCCCGTCATTGCGGCTGCTGTCGCTGCCTGGCTGATGGCAGTTCAGGGCCTTGTCACGAAACCGCCCCGTGAAGGGCCGAGGAGCAGTTGTGTCCTGCTCCTCTCACTGTGCTTGGCGTGGCGGCTGCCTCGGCGTGGGCAGCTTCCGCCCGGGAGCCCCGGCCACGTCGGGACCTTGTGCCACCTATCGCCAAGGCAACCAGAGGCAAGGGGCGTCCTCCAAGCCAGGCACCCCATGGGCTGCCATGGAAAAGAGCTTGAGGGCAAACTCCCCAGGGAGAAATGGGGTCACGAGCAGCCCCACGTCCCCAGAGAGACGTCGCCGTCATGCATGGAGGGAACACCGGGCACACCACGCTACATCGCAGCTGGCTCCGGTTGTGCCAGAAGGAAGAAATCCCAGTTCTTCTCTCGCCACTGTCCCCAGGAACGAGAGCGAGGAGCCTTGGCAGGGGCAGGGGGTGCCCGAAGCAGCAAGCACCACCCCAGCGCTGCTCCGAGCCCAGCGGAACGCCGGCTCCGCCACAGCGGGTTTTGGAGCCTCCCGACTGCCAGGACATCTGCAGCCCGGAGCAACGCCCATGAGGTGCGAGGGAATGCACGGCCGCTCTGCAGGGCACGGGGAGCCCTCACACGCACCAACAGGCCAAGGGACGTTCCAAGGGCTCTGGCAGCTCCCCCTTCCACCGCACTCATCCAGCCAGGAGGGGGTTTGGGGTGTTAAAGTGGAGCCGTGTCCCCAGGCCAGCCCTGCCCCCCAGGCGGGAGGCCCAGCCGAGGCAGAGCAGCCGAGCGCCCCTGCGTCCCCCCAGCCACGTCCTCCGAGACCCCCGAAAGAGAGGGACAATGGTCAAGAACCCCGGTGCCTCCCGGCAGCCCTGGGCTCTAGAGAGGCCCTGAGCTAGTCAGGCCCAGGAACTGCCGCTGGGCCCAGCGCGCAGGCCAATAGCTCCATCTCACAGAATCCCAGAACAGTTGAGGTTGGAAGGGACCTCTAGGGATCATCTAGTCCAACCCCCTGCTCCAGCAGGGACACCCAGAGCAGTGGCACAGGTTGGCATCCAGGCGGGTTGGAGATCTCCAGGGAAGGAGCCTCCACAGCCTCTCTGGGCAGCCTGTGCCAGGGCTCTGGCACCCTCACAGGAAAGAAGTTCTTCCTCACATGGAGATGGAACTGCCTGGGTTTCAACTTGTACCCTTGTCAACTGTTACTCCTTGTCCCATCACCGGCCACCGCCTGGCCCCATCCTCCATACAGTCACCCCTCAGCTATTTGAACATGTTGATCAAATCTCCTCTCAGTCTTCCCTTCTCCAGACTAACCATGCCCAGCTTGCTTAGTCTTTCCTCACACGTTAGATCCTCCAGCCCCTTCATCATCTTTGTGGCTCTCCGCTGGACACTCTCTAGAAGCTCAAAGGCTAGAGATTCATCTCCTGCCCTCCTGCTGTCTTCGCCCACCACGAGGCGCTGATCGGTGCGTGCGCCACGTCCATGTGTTTCTGCACCAGCTCAGCTACTTTACTTAGCAAAAACACATAGGCGGTCGGCGCGTCT